GAAGGGATAAGACAAGGTGCAGCATTTATAAGTGAAGTTAACCGACTATCCAACTGGTTTGGATCTTTGTTAGTGAGCCAGTCTGAGGGTGAGCAAAGAATGATGCACTATGCCAGCAACCATGTTACACAGGTAGTAGGTGATGGGAGCTATGTGGCACGCTCGAGGGTACAGGGGAGTGTTGTCACACGAGCCAGGGCAGAAAACCATGTTGACTTTCATGCTCAAAATGATATACAATATGTTTCAAGGGGCCAGAGTAATCAGGTATCCTATCAAGTGACACATCAACAGGGGAAACAAGCTAAGAAAAGGAAAAGCTCAAAAATAGGTGGTGCAACTCTCAGCCCACCTCAGGTAATCAGTTCCGACCTGAACTGGAGTCCTCTCCCAAAACGACATGCTTCACCTTCAGAGAGTTTGTGTGTTGCACTTTATTGTGATGATGGCTGGGAAGATGACCAACCACTAGAAAAAACTACAGCTAGTCAGTCAGTCCGACCACGTTTACCCAGTTGCAGCTATCAACGGCCAAATCGACCATCTCTTAGAAGTCTCACCTTTACTGATGAAATATCGGATGACAACATTCCAGATCACTGTTCACTCACTCCACCTGTGAGTCCAGCAGTACAGCTTCGACCCTACACCAACCCCAGGGACACACCGACCCATCATCCACCACTTCTCCAGAGCCCTACCCACCGACTGGCTGCTCTGCCTGCGCATGATCTTACACTGGAATCTCTGCATGATCTGAATTGGTTACATAAAATGGAACCCGATGATCAGGTTGTTCTTGAGGTGCATGTCATATGGTCAATTCTTTCTCTAATGGTTGTACTATTAGCTTGCTATACTTTGCATCATCAGCCACTAACAGGCTGAAATTTAGATCTGAAACTAAGTAAGATGTAAGTGTATGGAAAGGTTTGTTCTGTTTCTTTACCTTTTTTGGAAATTATTTTAAATTTTTCTCTTTTAATTTTTCAATTAGACATGCAAATAAGGATAAATTGAATTCCAGTGTTACAAATAAATAAGCATATATTGTTTTATTTTTGTACATATCAATGATTTTGGAATAATTGTTTTCTTTTCTAAAGCTTCATAAAACTCTGGTTTTAGGAGTGAATCATCCTGTAATTATGTGTCTGGTTTTATTCATGAAATCCTTTGTAATTGTTAACATCACTTGAAACTGTCAGATAACAGTTGTATGTCTTTTTGTATTATATAAAAATAATAATCTTTCTTCAGGTTTTCTTTACTGATATACAGTTAGGAGAGTTAAGTTACATATTTGTATATTGATTTAAAATATAATACAAGCCATAAGGAGTTTATTTATTTATGATTAGGCTGTATGAACTGTATAAAATTTCTTGATGTACATCTTATTATTAGTAAGGAAGATAAAAGTTTAAACTATTTTCCCATTCAAGGCTAAACATAACAGATGTAGAAATACATCATGGCCCCAGATATGCTATTGACATGACAAATTGATTTGCTAATACTAGTACGTCTATAGTATTTGTGATAATTTCAGAGAAATTTTTAAACATTTTATTGTATTTATAGGCAAGTTATACAAAAATGAAGTAATATTCATTCCACTGTTCATTTTTGTTTGTTATGGTATGTCTGTTGTGTATTATTTAATTTTGAGATAACTTCAGGAACTCTGAATGATGATGTAAAGTAATGGTATTTCTGCCAGATTTCTTTTTTGTCAGTGAAATTCTAAAACAACAACATATTTATAGTATTTATAATTATGTTACTTGCAATAATATTAAAAAGTGTTTTGTTTAAATATGAGTGCTTGCAATGATTCCCACATATGTTCAAGAAACTAGCACTGTTATTAGATACATTTATTATCTTGAATATTTTGAAAATGTTTTGAAATGATTGAAAGCCTGTTCAGAGGCTATGTGGTATATGATTGTAATACACATGCAATACTAATGCTGCCATTATATCATTTTTCACTGCTGTGTGGTAATAGTAGTTTCTTGGAGGCTTGTGTAGTTACTGAAATGTCATTGTTTCTCTATTTTTCTTAAAGAGTAATAAAACCTTGTTGTATGTTGGTATATGATATATGAGTGCTATATTGCCACACAGATACCAGTACTAGACAGGTGATACTTGGAGAACCAATACTGTAGACACCAACCAGTGAAAAATATTTTATTTTTGTTAAAGGAATAACCTAGTAAATAGTTCAATTAGGAAATGGAAGCTAGTCAACCATAGCCTTACAGATACAATTAAAGTATTTAGGTTTGCTTGCCTCTGTGAAGAGCAGTGTTATTGATTTTGATCTTTGATATTTATTTTCATTATTATGTAATTCAGTTTTGTAAAACTGTTAAATTGTTTGAATTGAAAGTAATGTGTTTTAATTTTCTTTAAATGTGTACGGTATTTGTATTTGGCCTGAGGTGAATTTAACAGTTCCTTTAGTAGGCTGCAATAAAATGAAATCATGAGAGATCACACTATGCTGAATTGTATGAAGTTGTAGGTCTAATTTGCCTTCTGATGATAAATTTCATTCTTAAATCCATAGGGTTTTTTACTATAATCTTCAATATTAATTGTTCTGGGTTTTTGACAATATTCATTCCAGATTTTTGGTAGAGTCACTTATTTACTGCTGATGATGAATATAATCCTGAGGCTTTTTTAAAAATTTAAATGCATTGTCATTTTCTTCAGTAATGGTATATATTTCTGAAAAGAGATCAGCAGTTTTCAAAGGTATTATTTATTCATGGGGGGTTGCTAGATGATTTTTTTTCATCAGGGCTTTGTTGTATCTTACATTATTTCTTATCCAGCACAAAGCATTTTTTATGTTGATTGATCCACATAGTCATAATTATATTTGTAATCATCATCATCATCATTAAGACCATCACCATTATCACCCTCCTGATAAGCAGTCATTATTATCATTCATTATTATCCTTACTTTCCTCTGACTGGATACAGCATTATTACAATACAGTATAAGTGATTTTAGGAGTACAAACAAGAAGTACCCTATTACTCTAGTTAGTGGTATTCTTACTGAAAGCATTTTTTGTATAACTGGTAACAGTTTATTTGTTACAGTGGTACTTGGTTTTCTTGGACTTGTTGGTTGGATGCTGTATGTCTTAGATTGAAGATATTCTGTGATTTAATAGTCCTAGCTTAATAGATTCTTTAGAAAATGTTGCTCAAACCTTTCCAAACAATATTTGAACATAAACATTTATTGTATATATCATATTGTCTTTAGCTTGATACTGAATAAAACTACCAATTCATCTCAATTGAACAATATATTTAGAATAATGTTCTTCTTATAGATAAAAGTTTTTTTTTCCAACAGTACTTATCAGGAATGTTATGCAAAACTAACAAATTATTCAAAGTTAGACTCAGTGAGCTAGGACCATAAAAGTTTATGGAGATGTCAGACTTTCACTTAATCTCTTTGGTTTATTTCCCTGTATGGTACCATACAGTAAGCAGAATCTCAATATTGCAATGGTATTACGTTCGCTGCAGTAATTCTGTTAAAACTCTTGTAATTATGTAACACTTTCAAAAGAAATAAAGAGTGCAGATAATTTATCTTCCTTCCTATAGTTATGCCACTGTGTAGAGATCTGACAGAGACCACATGAATTGTGTCATCTGTGAAAGCAGGGCATTAGAAAATTTAAAAACTAAGCTTTTTTTATAAAGAGTAAAATATATTTTGATATACTTTCCCTTCATCCTCCAGCAGGTGCCAAGCTATGCACATAAAGTTTTCTTAGAACTTTTTTTCATCACCAAGATTTTTTTTTCCTTTTTAATTGGGAAAGAATTTGCATTTCAGATATTTGTTAGAGACTATAATAAACTACTGTAACTTTATATCATTGGCTATTCTTAACCCAATTTCAAAGAAAATGTATAGATAACAAAGATGGACAATGATATTTTATTTCATCTATCATTTTTAGGCCATCATGAATTTATAATAGAGTATGCACGAGATTAGCCTAAGAAATCAAAGTACCACTGTATCATTTTTATATGACTTTTCTGTTTCTTAAAAATTCAGTATAATGTTAGCTTATGCAATTCCCAACAGAGATTGGATTATAATGATCTTGAGATATCCACAAAAGAGGAAAATACTTGGTTAGTTGCTTAATTGCATAACAGGATACTAGTATGATAATTTCCTTTTTGTATGTCAGTTTCTTTTTTTATCATACTGAAGCAAGTTGCCCAACAAAGATCAGAGTGTATAAGGTATGTCTTTTAGTACCATGGTTGTGAATGAACTGCAAGCAACATCCAGAGGACAGAGGGCATTTGCTTGTGAATACTTTATGCATGTAATTTTTGGAGTTTGTTTTCATTGCCTTTATTTTATTATCAGTTATAAATATACTATTTTTGTAAGAAAAAAAATCAGTGATATCATAAAGGTCATGCCAAACCATTTTTTTGTATTACTAGGGATTTTTGCTTTGGTTTAAAAAACTGCAAAACTTCTACAATCAAGAGGTCGCAGCAAATAAATTCACATTTGCGGCTGATTACTGTCAAGGAGACAAATTTCAATGTGGATAACCAAACTTTTATGCAAAGTATGCTAACTAATGCACTGAGTAAAGAACATGCAGTATATTTTATGTAAGATACTTGATATTCATAGTACTGATAATACTATTAAAGATAGTTGTCATTATATTTCTCAAAAATGTACTAAAGCAAATTAGCAGGATAGTGATATGGATTCCCTAAAAAAAAATGGTAAATAATTATTTGAATCAGTATGAAGAAATTACCAAGTGCTAATTCTTTATAACTGAACTTTTCTTCCAAGCTTCCTCTATCACCTTTTGCACCATATTAGACCTGAAAATAATATGGAAATTATTTCCTGTTTTTATGAATTATCTATGTCTCTATTTTGATATTAGCACTACTTGATCTTC